AATTTTTGAAGAAAATCGATCTCCAAACCTACTTGTAAGGGATCCTTTTAAGCTTTACCAAACATGACAAAGTGAGAGTTATTTCTGGTCCCAAATAGTTAATACAGAATAATACAGCTCGTGGGGGACTCCTTCAATTATGGGTGACAGAGACATACCAAAAGACACGCATGGATTTCTCATCTTTTGATGGAATTAAGACTGAAAATGTTTCCTTTATTTGATAAAAAACATCATTCTATGATTGGGACATTTCATTTTCTCTTTTATTGCCATTTTTGGGTACAACCTTTTTCATATCATCATTCAAAGAGTAATGTTATTCATCCCCAATAGGGATGAAAACACAGTTAAGGTGGCTTTAAATGACAGGTTAAATGAAAGGTGAAATTAAATGACTTATTTAATTTCACCTATCATTTAATGTCATATTGACGCCATGTAGATTGTGTTTCCATTCCTAGTGGGGATGAATAGCATTACTCTCATTCAAAAGGCAAAACCAGCCTGTCTTCTCAATAGGCACAGATTTCTTAGGACCGCCACTCCAATTTACAATGCCAATTCACCTTCAAATCACATGTATTGTATATCAAGAAATACAATAGGATAAAAACTCCCTACCGCTCATGTGACAAGAGAACCTTAGTGGGGAGGGTTCTCTTGCCACATGAACCATAGGGGGGAGTTTTCTTGCCACATGAGTAGTCAGAAGTTTTTATCCTGCCGACTAAGGATAGAAGATCAAGTCTTTACATTTATATATTCCACTTATCTTATCAGATCGAATTTATTGTTGACCAATATTATAAAAACTGACTAGATCAATTTGGGAACCTTGTCCAAAATTTTGTTCAAATAATGTAAATAGCTGAAAATATAAAGCCTATCAAAATAATCACAAAATCGATTGGTTCGTCTCCAAAATTGTTTCATTATTTACTTCATCAATTTATCTCCAATTCGATCCTTTTGTCCTTACGTACCCCTTATAGGACAGGTTTCTAAAACATTATTTTTGACACATCTTGCTTAGTGAGCACATTTATTTACAAGACAGGTTTTTAAGCATGATTTTCGCCACATCGTGCTTAGTGAGAACTCACGAGAATACACTCATACGGTCCCGTAAATTGTACGGTGCCGAACCAACATTAAATAACTATTGTTTTATCGATTATACTGTTCAACCCTATCTTATATCATTCCAAACATGCCCTCAGCACCTCCTGTTGCTGTTCAATAATTGAGATGTGAACACTGCCAGAAGTTTGAAAAGCAGATCAGGTGATGTGTGAAAGCACCAAAGAGACATTCTGAGATTGGCATTGTTTACAGTTATCGGTTATGTCTGATCCTTACCCTTAACTACAGTTACATTTCAAAACCCATGTTGAAAATTGCAGTACGGTACTGATTCTCCCTTAAACAACCCCCACCCCCCAGTACCCATCTGGCTCTCTCCCTGATTCTCTTAAACAACCCCCACCCCACCCAGATGACTACAAAATTTGAGTCGTGCTGATGACAATAGTAGATATGCATTATTTTTTTCACGAGCAGGCCGATTGAGCTTCGACGGACTACCCATTTTCACATCACTACATTCAAATGAGCATGATTATAGAAGAAAGACGAGGGAAAAATTTTTTTTGATTACCTTATCAAATTTTATCTAGTGGAGCATATAGGGTATGCTCTAAAATGATTAAGGACTTTTTTTGCTTCTACTTCTTGTAAAGAGCTTTTCGAGCTATATTGTATCAGCTTCCTCTAAAAGCTCTTCTAGTCGAATAAAATACTTCCAAAAAATTATCCAAATGTTTGCAACTTTTTAACCTCAAAAATAACTTTTAACTTTTCAAAAGTCTTGTCAAAAGCCAAAAGGTCCTAAACCATGTACCATGCACTTCTAAGTCGAGATCACAACTGTAACAAATGCTTATGAGTGGCAACAAAATTTGGTTGAATTATTAAAAGCCAAACTCATCATCCAAAGGAACCTATTCTCAATGAAGAATGTTCATTGGTTAAGAAAATAAACAAATAGATGCCCACTTGAGAAATCTAGTAATCACTCACTTTCAAGATTTGATTTTTTAACTTAAAACATTTCCTTGGTTTCATCAAATGCCATTACCACTATAACTACCACCATTATTTTACTCTCCACCAGCAATTTGGTAGGTTAAATGCAGCCAACATAACAAACAAGATAACACAGCACAGAATTCACAGCCCATATAAATAAAAATGAAGCACAGTCTGGCCCTGGCATACGTTAAATTGAACGGTACCAAGAAATACAATCTTATCTATTTCATTGTCCATTCCTGCTGAGTACCAATCATGCCCGAGATGAACCTGCCGGCAAGTCACTCTTCCAAGTAATTTTTTCTATTATTGTTGAATTTGAACACACAACCCATAGTTGCAGAAAATGACATAGGACACTAATACAAAGATGACAAGATTTTCCAACAAATACCCACCAACAGACCAACCCCAACACCAGCAGCATTAGCACCACAAATCCTCACAAGAACAGGCCAAAAAGTGGTAGGTCCCGCAAAATTTGGTATGCAAAATATTAGCCCCTACTGGAAAGTACAAAGAACAAGATTTCAATTTCTTTTCTATTTTTAATACTATTTAGTGATATACAATCCTCTCTACCAAATAAGCTAGTAGAAATAATGAAAGGTGCATGTATTTAATGTAGAGAAAGAATACAAACAATAAAAACGTACTCATGCTTCACAAGATAACAATTAACAGGCAAAAACATTATGAAAATGGGTAAATGGTGTCGATTTATTCAGAGTTCTTAAAACTTCCATCAGTACAAATATACAGATGGTAAACCAGCAGAAGCTACTGGGGATCAACATTCAAGTTAACTTCTATACCACAACTAAGCCTAACTCCATAAATACTACCACTACGACCCAGTTTTTCTCCCTTCAACCTTGCATGATCTGTTAGACAAAGGATCTTGTTGTATAGGTAAGTCACAAGCTCTGTTATGTTACAGATCATTAGTCTACTGTCTACACTTGCTGCCTAATGTTTTTACAAGTAATGGTAATGGAAAATATGAACATTACCATCACCATGCAAAACTGAAAGTACCTATGATTTCTTCACCTTTCCTAGTATAATCAAGTAAGCTCATTAGTCCCAATGGAATGTTATTGCTCGTCTAGGGTTTAAGTTTCACCCATTCATATCGTCCAGGAAGGGGTTTGTCATTCACCGGATCGAAGTTGTACCTGCAGAAAAATCCACTCAGGACATCAATTTACTAGTGAGCTGATATATCACAAGTAAATAAATGGGAGAATGCCTGAAGTGTAAATTTATACTTCTCGATAAATTGTGTCTGCTGCTGCTTTTCTTCACCGGCAAAAAACTCGTCCATTTCACCTGCAGTTGGGATGTGCCTTAGCATTGGATTTTGTGCCCTGCTACTGGCTGCATTATGAGTGGTGGGCCGGTTACTTGAACCCGGAGTCTCGATAGTGTTTGGATCCCTGATCAAACTGCACGGGGTACTCTCCCTAGTGGTCCTGTAGTGTTAAACACGTCAGCAATATATGTTACTGGGGAACAAACCAAAAGAATTAGTTCCACTGTCATGTTTCGCGCATAGAAATTTAAGATCAAGGCACAGGGCTACTGCATATAACATTACTATTCCATAAAACCCATATGCAGCCACCATTTATGAGTAAGCTACGTATTACGGTACACAAAACGCAGCAGATAAAGAAACCTATTCAATTTCTTAACACATTTGGATAAGATTATGTTCCTGGGAGAGCAAAATGCTATATTGCAAATCAAAAAACAGAGCAAAGGAAGATGTTAAAGAAAGAATTTAACTCAAGCAACGACGAAATTGTTAAGAATTTAATTGAAGGCAACGGCAAAATGAACCTTTTAAATACTAAATTGGACAGACTAATATCCCAATGCATTTTTTTACCATAATCGACAAACAACTGAAAAAGGGAGGATACTTTCCTCAAATAAAATCAACAAGGCACACAATGCTAGTCAATGGCGTCATGACAAAATTAATATCTAGTTGTTTGTGTAGTACAACATAACGCTGCAGATTTTGAGGATCGCATCGTGACAAAATATTATAATAAATTGGAAGGTTAAATTGGAGGAGCTGACTTAAATAATAGAGTGCTTAGTTCTGACTGAAAATAAAGATAAATAAGCAATTGCGGAAGTTTTTGGATCACAAGCTGTCATGATATGCAGAATTTAAAATGGTACCTTGAAACGTAAATGAAAATAAAGTCAAAATCGAGAGCGCTCAATAATGAAAAAATATCAATTTCTCTTGGACAACTGTACCCCAGCAAAACTCGAAAGCAAGACATTTTCGGTAAGAACTTTATGGTAGTAATTACTTATCCATAAGTAGCAAAATCTACCAATGGGGCTTGAACACAAAACGTGCAGTCAATGACAGTGAAATTATCACTATCTTCAGGACCAGACATTGAGAACGAGCAGGATCATAAGAGAAGACATTTCAAATTTCTAGAGTTCATGATTCACTGAATAATCCTAATCCTTTACCCCAAGATTTTTCCAGTAATTAAATTGTAAATAAAACTTAAACCAACTAGTCCAACAAAACAAAATTCCAGCCCCCAAAAAAGGAAGATTTGAAACAATATAAAGAAAAATTGCTCATATAATCTATTTTTTCTCCGAAAGAAAGAAAGAGAAAAAAAGAATTTGAAACATGCAACACGATGAAAATCTAGAAAAAAAATAACAAATAACACAGTTCAAAAATCAACAGGCACTAGTGCAGAAGGCAATAAAAAGTCCTAAACAAATTAATTAAAAAATTAAACATGTTAACATACCAGAAAACTCATTCTTCATTTAAATTCAACAAGAAAAATCCCCAAATTTCCCCAATTATAAATAACAAATTAACCAAAAAGATTGAATCTTTAAACATGCAAAACAGAAAATTAAATAAAAAAATATAGAAAAAAAAACCACCTTTCTTTATCATCAAATTCCAGCAAATTCTCTCCAAATGAAGCCTCCATTTCTCCATCACCACCATTTTTCTCATCCTTCCGATCATTTTCCTCCGCCCCCAATTTTATCTCCACCCCATCAATTTCCTCCTTTTCCTCCTCCGAATTTCTGGGAACCACTTCACCCTTGCCTGATTTTGGCTTAAGGTCTTTCCGTCTTTTACCTTCTGCCACAACTGGGGATGCGGTCTTCACCAGTCGCCTGCTCCTCAGCTGCAGATACGAACCATCATCACCACTAATTGCCGCCGGCGATGATTTCTGAAGTGCTAGGGTTTTGGCTCTTGTACGAACACCGAGTGAGGATTGGGTGGAGGCTTTGGCGTGGTTCACCTCCACCACATCTGCTTCACCAATTCCCTTCGATTTCCTTATGTACTTGCCCATTTTTCGTTCTCCCTTTTTTTGCTTCTCTCTCACGCTGTTCACCATATGTATATATTTCATCAAGAAATCATTTGAACAAAATGGATACGTAGAGAGAAATTGATAACTTCGAGTTCTTCGTGCGCGTGCTTGATTACTTCTTCCAGATGTCGGTTAGGAAAAGGAGAGGTGGTTTTGCAGTTGTTGTCAAGAACGGATGGAGAGAGAGAGAGAGAGAGAGGGTACGAACCCGTGCGTGTGCAAGAACCTGGTTTTTGTACAAGGGAGGGGTCGGGGGAGGACTCTCTTTATCTCATGGGATAGGAACTTCAATATACCATCTCTTTGGAGCATGTTTGGCTAAGCTTAAATATAATCAAAAGATAGTTTTAAACAAAATTTTAAAAACGAACTGGATAATTGGCAAAAAAAGGTTGAAGGGTTGAGGGTCAAGCACTCGACACTGGTTCAAGAAAATTAGATTAGTGAATAAGTGAATCAAGCAATATTAGGACGAATTGGTCGGTTTTTAGATAACAAGTTTTGAACTTATAGTTTCTCACTTAAAATCAAATCAGCTTTCGAACTGAGAATATGATTTTTCCTGCGAACTGGCAAATCTAGTTCGACTCTTGTATAATTGGTTTTGAGAGACATTTTATGTTATGTGTTTGCATAAATTATTTTCTTTTCCTTCAAGTAAGAAAAGGTGCGTTTACATATTTACCATTGAATAACTTATTTATAATCAATTTTAATTGATAAAAGTGATATATTTGACTTCTTACTTTTTTCTTGCAAGTAAATTAGTGAGTGAACTTTTTAAGCTTTTCCAAACACGCAGTTTGGTATTACTTTTAAGTGTTTATAAATAGTGGGTGTTTGGTGGGGATTAATATTAGATTTTTAGTAGATTGTGATAGAAATTTTTGAAATATGTGATTGAAAAGTTGTAGGACTCATGAAATGGATTAGTCTAAATGTACACAATTCATTACCTAACGAATTGCACCCCCCCTCACATGGGAGGGGGGCCCACACACAATAAATATTCGTGGGCCCCCCTCCATGTGAGGGAATGTTTAGGTAATGGATTGGGTGTACATCTATCACAACCCCTCATGAAAGATGTGGTTAATATTGATTGTTTGACTTTGATTTAAATTAAGATTTGATTTTAGTGGATAATAAATAAATGGCAAGTTGGATCCTACCAAATGTTTAAATAATCATACCTACACAAAGTTTGACATATCTTTTTGTTTAAAAACTAATGACATTCCTCACCAGTGATTTAGTGTCTATGTTGCCGTGGATCCTCTTATTCATCGTTTAATAGATTTGTGATGCTCTTTAATGCATTTGACAATGAATTAGGTTGATTATGAATAACATTATTTGTGATATATGAACAATAAATTAGGAATCTATTGCCAACTAATTATTGATGAATAATTAAAATTACTGTTCTAAATTACACGAGACATGAATACAACTTCCCGCCTCATGCCTAGATGGGAAAAAAAGATGGTAAATTCTATATTGATGTACTTTCTTGTTTTGAAATCTAACCTAACAAAATGTTCAATCAATGGTAAAACTTAAAAATAAAAGAAGTCCAATAAAAAGTCTACCATAACTCAAACTTAGCCCTTGAACATAGCTTTCTCCATCCACAAATAAAGCATTATTGATTTGGGGGTATTTATAATTTTGAGAATTTTTTTTTTTGTTGAAAACTTGAAAAATATATATAAAGTTGCTATAAAAATTTCAAGATATGCGTTAAAATAACATTAAAAAAAACACCTTATTATGCCTAGATTCGTAAGGCTTGAGACATTACTTTGCCTTTTAAAATCTTGGTTAAAACAATTTAGCAATAATCATGATGCTAAATGTTTTTATTGGATTATGGGTAGGCGTGGTTTGGTTCAATTTAGTTATCTTCATAATCGAAGCAAGAACTAATGGTTATTTGATAATGGAAGCATTGGTTTCATATGTAATTGTGGAATTGAACCGAATTGTTCCAGTACGGTTTGATCCAATTCCCTAACTAAAATTTTCAAATAATTAATGCAAATTATCGTATAAAATTCTATCATCAAAAGGACACTCACATCCAAAATCAAACCAGTAACCTCATGCAACGCCAAACGACAACTTTCATCTCTATACAAAATATCGTCAGATAAAAATCATTCATGAAATTAACAAATAAACATAATTAATTTAAAAAATGGGTTGATTTAGAACCGACTCTTTACTTCTTTACTCTTGGTTCTAAGTATTAGTTTCGAATCAAATGAAATTGATTTGGACTTTAAACCAAATCGAGTTATACCGACCGATCCCACTTTGAATCGGTTGGTTCATGCTATTTTGCCCACCTAAGTTTGATTACAATTATTTGATCTTTACAAGTTAATGATATAACACATTATCAAATTATATTTTAGGATCTCTAGCTTGCAACAATATGCGCTATGATTTTTCACAAATCAAGCAAAAGCAATGATAATAATCATTCAAAAGATTTCTGTTAGAATATATTTAACAGACTATTCTGAAAAATAACTTAGAATATAATGAGCAAAATTTTAATTGACGATAGACAATCATAAGAAAATTCTTTATTTTTTCAAATTATGCCGTAGATTAATTTGTATGATCGAAAGATTTAACGAAGTCAAATATTTGAAACCACAAATTACTAACTATGGAAATAAGTTTGAATTTCCAACAGGAATTTAACCAATACGGTGCATTGAGCCATTGACTATCAAGTTGCGTCACATTCTGGCAAAGTATCGTCATTATATCGCGATACGATTCATTTCCGAGTTTTTGGCGATCCATCCGCTACAGTGAAACATTGGATACCTTTCTTGCATTTAAAATTTCTACGTACGGCAGTTTGGAGCTCCTCCTCACGCGCAAGAACGATAAAATGTTACGCACGCTCCTATCCACGGTGGATTTTAGGGTTTTTATTGACGTCCGGTGACGAATTCAGGTGGGATAATTTGCAAAAATGGACCTTCACTTTTGTGCCGTTTGTGATTTCAAGACCTAAAGTTTAAATCTGGACAGTAACGTCCGATGATTATACCTCTAAAAGATGTATCGAACTCGTGCAAATTAGCTATATTAGGTAGAATTGGTGCGTGCAGGTCGAAAATATACCTTTGTTTGGATGGATCGAAAAACAATATAACGCTTAAAAGTAAAGAGTATTTTTGTTACTTTAGAATTTGAATAATTTTCTTAGTGGAATAGTCTCTCTCTTTTTTTTTTTAAAATAAAAAAGAGGATTTGTAAGTAACAATAATTATTTATTTCCTTGCTTCTATGTTTAATCTTTGTATGATTACTTAACATGCTTTAAAAGTGAAATTGTGTGAAGTACCTAATAAATTGTGTTAGGTTCAATATTGTAATTGACAATTCTGTGAACAAAAATGACTTAATTGAACGTGTGTAAAAGTCAAGGAGTGAAGTGCAATTTTGTATAGTTGAGTTGGTAGCCTATGGTTTGAGTTCGAGTTTGGAAACAATGAAGAAGCGGCGCCAAAATTTCGCTAGCCTCGTGCCTGGCCATCGCTCGAGCGACAGAAACAGAATTATTGTCGCTCACTTCTCGCCTAGGCGTCGCTCGAGCGACAAGTCCCCTTCGCTCGAGCGACAGTGTTACACTGCTAACCTTAGTTCGCTATTTTGGAGAGTTTTACACAGCCCATATCACTCATACACTTCCAACTCTAAATACAAATGCTCTTGCACGAAAATGGGTGGTTGTCTCATTGTGCCTCAGTTGTATAACATATTCATATCATCTTTTGAGAGATCCAAGAACA